GAACGCCGGACCCCAGGAGCAAAAAATTCCGACCGGATTTTGGCAAAAAAAGTCAGTTTTGATTTCGTTCAAAAAATATAATATGTCCGTTTTGACCAAATGGTTGTTCACACACTTATTGGATGATGTGAGATCATGATTGTCTACTAAGTCCTTCCACTTCCCTGTCTTTGTTTACCCCCCCCTTCTTGCTTATGGTTTCCCCTTTGGAGGGCCCGTTTGGCCACAACTGAAGGATGAATGAGGGAAATGGAAATGAGGAATTTTTAGAATAAAAGGAAAAAAGAAAAAGAAGGGTAAAAGCCGGAAAAGAAATAGAAAGAAAAGAAAGAAATCATGAAAGGGAAAAGAAAAAAAGACGAGGAAGAAGGAAAAAAGATGGGGGTAAAGAAATAGTTTGGAAAAGAAAATTGCTCTTCGACCCTTTAGCTCGGGCCACAGAGGGATGGGCTTGGGAAAGGCCTCCGGATGCGCACCCCACCTTGTTCCCCGTGAGGAAATGGACTACTCTCGTATCCACTATAGGCCCTCGTCAATAGGACCTTGGTCTAGCTCCTATGCGACGTACGTCGATTGATTCCTGAATATAGGCAGCCCCGACGCCTGCGCTCCTCCTCTCTTTAAGCTTCCCTTGATTGGCCTTCAATGAGGAATATGTTATTCATTAAAATAGTACATTATTTTCTAAATAGTACTTTTGTTGTTCGAGAAACTCGAAAGGTATACACGGCTGACGAAAGAAGATGCTCATTATATATTAATACACAACGATCAGAGTCCCTGTTCAACGGATAAATCCTCAACTAAACTGACACACTTTCAGACAGTTAGTACGACGTAGCATATCGAAGGTTTCCCCTTGTGAGGGACGCATATGAGTGATCCGAAAAAGGTCTTCGTTGAGGCTTTAAAGGGTGCATGGGAGTGAAAAGAATAGCTCATTTTTGAAGTTTAATTGAATACAAGCAGGATGAGTAGGATACATCCGAGTCACATGTTTCGATATAATCCATAATACACAAGTTGGCTAGTTTTATAGTAAAACTGGGATATATCCGAATCAAATATTTCATTATTCTGATGGAGAAAATCCGTTATGTTATAAACCGTGCATCATTCATTAAATATCCTTGAAGTTCACTCAATCAAAAAGATGAACTTATGATCATAGCCCGGATCACCCTCCGAGGGAAAATTAACCAATATGTTATCATTCCAAGAACAATTATAGCTTAGCAGACATTTCTTAAAACAAAAGGGCATCAGACGGAGTGAAGTGGTGAGCAGCATTATGCAGAGATGTTATCATTTGCCGCTTGTCGGGTTCGACCTCGCAACCGTGAACTTGTAACATCCCTACCCAATCCTGCCCACCACTCCGCCACTGTCCTTGCCGAGATCAAATGATGTATGTTAACAAATAAAAGTGCACCCTCGGAAACCCCTTAAGAACTCTAGTAACCATCAGTCTTAAATTCCAACTAGATGGCGGTTGCATATACATTATCACTTTACCAAACATTTCTCAAAACAAACGGGCATCGTATGGAGTGAAGTGGTGGGGAACATATTATGTGAGACGTTATCATCTGAGGATTGGGCATTGGAGAAGGCTCAAACGAATGCGTAGGATACATCCGAATCAAACTGTGTACAGATTATCAGATGTTGAAGTGACCAAGGACCTTATAATTATTTTGAAAGATCTCACTGGATTTTGAAGACAATTGACAACTCATGAKAACTAGATTGAAAAGCGAAGACAAATTAAAAACAAAGCAGGACACCCAACCTACATAAGCAGGCACACAACCATTGTCGAGACTAATGAGAAGTACAATTATCTGGTCCCAATATTGTGAATTCGTAACGGTTACCTCAAAAGTTTCCATTAACCAAAGATTTGGCAAGGCTATTTCGGACCGTCCACAATTAACCAAAAAGTTTCCGTGGAAATTTCAACTAATCGGACATTCTAACAAAAAAATTTGGAAATGTCGAGATGTCTCTCTAAAAAAACCTACACTATGAAAACATTCAAAAATCCGACATCCTGACGGAACTCTAAAAACGTCAGACTCGTCACGAAAGTGTCCCGAACTTGAAATCTTCAAAAGAAGTCTCTTCGAAAAGCGTTCACTAGCGGTTTCCATGTTGAACCGTGCACAATGCAAGCCGAGATAGGAGGTTGAGGCAGACCTTCGAAACCCGTAATGGAAATCGAGAAACCTTGAACGTCTCCCCCAGCCATGACAACAGCACGTCTCAAGGACAATAGAACATCTGCAGCTTGCAGATAAGGTGCTGTAAAATCCCCCAGCATCCAGTTTCCCCCTTG